ACCACACACAAATTTGATTTGTAAACCTTACTGGCATGCATTTTGCTCTAATACTATCCAAATTCAGAGTCGTATATTATTACTATTATAACATAACGAGTATACGAGTAATTACCTTAATGTTTACTGTACTCTATATGTATCAAATAAGACTTGACTCGCTTACATCATAACCTAATTGAAAATAGAAATTATCTTACTCGTACCTCTTTCCTGCTCACGAGTGTTCAAGAATCTGATTCACAAATACTGAAATAATAATAATAATAATAATAATAACAATAATAATAATACTCCGTCCATTCTATGGTTGGTGAAAGGCATCTTATAGGATATTCTATTAGTTAGACATATTTATTCACACTAATTAAATTAACAAGGAATATTACAATAAATACGAGGTATATGTTTTGATACTATACGACGTACGATGTTTCACGTACATACTAAAGTATGCGTACGATGAATATAGATCTTTACTAGGCCAACTGTGTAAGGTTGCTTGAAAGCATACAATAATGTATGAATATTGATGTTGAGTAAGCTTTTACAGCTTTACAACACGTAATATATGTTCTTAGTTTCAATGTAAAAGGTCGTTCGTTTGTTCATGCAAGGTGATGGCAAGTAGTAAACTTGCATTTTATACTAATGAAGGTCGAACATATATTCTTTTTTGGACCATCATATATATGTTACGGAGTAATAACTTAATATGTATAGTTGTATAGTGGGGGAGTTGAGAGTTGAGGAAACCCTTGAGGTTGAACAAGGTAACAATAATGTTATTCCTTTAGTTCAAGGTAATTCCTACTAGGCATATATTGATGTATATGCAGCAAACATCTTGTTTGAGAGGATAACTACATTAATACTCATTATGTATCTAGTGATCATTATGTATTTGAGTGGAAATGAATGGATGAAATGTGATTTCTAGTAAAGAGGGTCGTGAATCTAGTACTTGCTTGATTGCCCCTTCATGTTTTGCCCATTGTGGATTCAACGTCCAGAAACTTATTTTGGAACACCATAAAAGGAAACGGGAAAATTAGACAAAACAATGATGCACAATATAGGACGAGGGTATTGAGATAGTTAGATTTAAAGTGGATATGTAATTGTCTAGAGGAAAGGAATTATCTCAATTATCAACTTAATTTGGATGGTTTTTGTAATAATATAACAGCTGGTTTTAGTAATTGTATGGTTTGTTATTCCTCTACCCAGTACCCACTGGGAGAGGGTTGAGAACTTGAGAAGAATAAAATTAAGTAACAGATTAATATATTATATTAAATTACAGAATGGTTTCAATAAGTAAAACAAAGCTCCTAACAGTAATATTTAGTTTCAATTATTAATAATTCTATTTGAGTAAAAATTCTGTCAAGTAAAATGTGTAAGCCTCTAAAATATTTGTAACCTAACTACTTGTTGTTTACTGTTTGGTAACAAAGCTCTTAGTAAACTTAGGATCTCATATTATAGTACTAAGTTTAATTTATGCTATAATTGTCCAGTTAAACAAATGTAATTCAGAGAAACGGCAATTCTCCATGACCTTCTATTATCGTCATTACATTACATTTCATAGGATTCATTGAGGTTTATCAAAACTATTGGGTAATTTAAGAATTGATTATTTAAGAATGAATGATATTTAATGGATTTTGTGCATAATCACAACCTCCACTTCATTCTCCAATTTACTCCGTAGTTGATTGGTAATGACTCATGAGAAAACACACATCTATAATAATTATTGCATCTCCACTCTTAGTATCCACCATTCATGAAATGTAAAACTCCCAACAATTTGATCACATTGACATAATTCTCAGAATTTCAATATAGTTTGAAACTAATGTATCAACATTGATCTCTCTGTCAATTATAATTCGATTACAATACAATAATTAGCTTACAAATTATTATTTTTTAACGGACTAAATTTTTTTTTTTATCACAATTTCTTTTGGAGTAATTTCTTAGGATACTCCTATAATTGGTACTATCTAAGTCAATGCTAGCAATAATCATATTGAGAATGAGCATAGTTTAAATCATTGTTCTAATACATTTTCCCATTAAATTCTAGATATAAAAAACATCATTATAACAAATGCAATGAAGAAGTATGATATTACCTACTTTGACGAAAAAAAAACGAAGTTATCTTATTTTTTCTTACACTATACTCTTGACCAATAAACAATCACTTTTTTTTACTTCTTTTTCCCACTCTTTAATTTACCTCAAATTAATTAAATTCTTTCTATGTTATCCCCACTATTGAAAATCCAACCATGTAATTAAATAAATAAACTTGTTAGTCATGCAATTAATTAATGATCATTAGCCCTAAATCCCCTAATTAGTCATCACTAATACCATATGATTGGTTCCTTTATGTAAATGTAGACAAAGTAATTCTTGTTCACAACATCAACTAAGCATGCTTAGACGTACACTAGTTATTACAACTTGATGTTAGCGTAACTCCAAAAGAAAAATAAATTAACAACGTATTAATTATTTAATAATGCAGCATTTAGCAAGGTAACAGGGTTCTAATTTGACTGAAAATTAGTAGTATTACATTTTAACATAAGCATCTTGGACCGCTAAATTCCATGTTGTAAGCTTGCTTAGTATAATGATGACCCTGTTTTGTCTAGTATAAGGTGCCCAATGCAACTTTTTGACTCTTCCTAAGTTCTATTAATTAGATTTTACCGCAGTGATTTTAAGATTACTTGATTAATCAACTCTAATTAAATAATTAGATACATACTCCCTAGTAAATCGAATTACATGTATACTATAAAAATAATATATTAATACTTGTATAGCATAGTATGTAAATATGTGACCCCTTTCTTGTAAAGTAATAAGACAATGGAGTGGGAACTTGAAAGAGTTGGCCTTCTTAAATTATCAACTTCAAAATGTTAACAAGTGACACGTTCCAATGATCTATACTCCACTTTCATATTGTTTTTATTATTAAATAATCAATCAATCACTTATTTTTAACTGTTTTAAATGATGTCATGAAACAAAATAATTTGCATCTAATAGTTACTTTCAAATTATGTGATAATAATGTAGTAAATTAGGACTTTAGGGGTGAGCAAAATCAGGTACCAAACTTGATTTTGAAATTCAATTTTGATACATATTTTCGGATGTTAAAATTGTAATATGGTTTAAAGATAGTTTTACAAAACTATATGCAAAATCAGATAAAATTGTGAAACTAAAGTGGATAGTGTATAATGTATAGTGTATGTGTACAAACACTTTAGTTATTTGAAGTAGCCATGTGATAGCATAAACGTGTAAGTTGAGAAGAACGTAGTTGAATGGTTAAAGCAATGGAGAGTAGTAGCAATCAAGACTCATTATATAGTTGTATTCTTTCAACATTATTATCTTTTGTGACCCCTTCACACCAAGAGAAATTAATAGTTCATATAGTTCAATAATAGAGACGATTGAGATATATCTCTTGCAAAGTTAAGTTGTTGATTAGTGTTATGCGCCTGTACAAAGCTATGTGTTTAACGTTCAGATTTGTAGTTTTTGTAATATTAAGGGATTTACATATTTTCTTTTGAATAATTTAGTCAAGCTAATTACAAATTACAAACAAATTTCTTTTGTTAGTTTGCAAAACAAGTATGTGTAGGATGTCAAAATAAGATAGGAACAAGATTGATGAGATCAACAATCGAAACGATGCCATGTATACTTATCTTGACTCTTGAGATATTTATTTTGATGATATTGTATTTGTATAATTGAAATCCTTGTGAAATGATATATGCACCGATTCGGCTATTAGATTAAACGTGTGCACTGAGTCTCAATACAATGATAATCTTGATCTATAATCACATCCTATTTATTAGTTTCGAAGGTATAAACTTACCAATTTTATGATAGTTTTATTCTTAATACACCCCATAAATACATTACAAATAAAGAAAAGTCATACAATATACACGAGAAGATAGTGTATTTGCACACCCTTGAAAATGAAATATTGCAAATGAGATTTTGAGATATTCTCTATTTCTCTTACAAAATTTGCCAAATTATCTCCTAAATGTCACACATTTTTTTTATTAGTTGCAATATTTGATTTTTTTTTTTTAAAAGCCAACCTTTATATTTAACGGAATTTTTCCTACAAACAAACAAATATAAAAATATACATTGTATTATCAAATGAGATACTATAGGATATGTGGTATCTCGTTGTATTATCAAATAATTGTTACAGAATTATTGCAGACTTACTAAATTGATAAGTTGAACAAATTTGACCTAGCAAAACCAAAGACTTGCCTTGACCAATACTAAGCTCGTGAAAAGTTAAAACGCTTTAAGTTGGAGTAATTACATTGACTGGTCAACTCAGACTTAATTGACACGTTTAACATGTTTAATTCTAACTTTCAACCTTTATTGATTTCCAAGGTATTTTTCCTACTAACAAATATAAAAACATTATATACATTATTATAAAATGAGATATTTTAGGATTTTTAGTATTTCAATAGTATCAATATCTTATACATTCTCTTATACATCTCTTAATGTGTAGTTACTTTAGTGGTCAAAATGATAGGCTTATAACTGCGAACTAACAATCGTTACAGACTTAATGCCAGACCTTTTAGAAACTGCTAAGTTGAGCAAATTGACCAACAAAAACCAAAGACTTGCATCAACCAATGCTAAGCTCGTGAAAAGTTAAAACGCTTCAAACTAGAGTAATTACATTGACCGGCCAACTCAGACTCAACTGACACGTTTAGTTACAACTCTCAACGAATTAAAAGAAACGGAAGAAGTATGTATATTTTTTTTTTTTTAATACGAAAAATAAAATAAAATGATAGTATACCATCTATGGACAATACACTCTCCACTCATACAAACAAGTAGAGTACGTGTAATCACCCCATATTTTTATGATACAACCAAAATATTTATACACATCTTCCTATTTCTCTCTCTAAAAACTCCTTCTTTCTCTCTCTAAAGTACACAGTACCCTAGAGCCATTTCTCCTCCTACAAAACCCCTCCACTCTTCACACCACAGCAGTCTCTTCTACCCAAAACCCATTTCAGACATCCTTCTTTATTTTCTCTGTAATATAAATTTTGCTGTTTTATTTTTATTTTTTTCTCCAAAAATCTTCCATTTTTTCATTTTTTTTTAATTTTATTGTTCAATCAAAAATCTGTTCTTTTTAATCTATCAAAACTAACCAGAAAAAAAAGTTGGTTAATTTATCTTCAGATATTCAGTAGATGCAGAAAAAATCCATTCTTTGAAGTTTTTTGTGTTTTTTCTAGAGAGAGAAAGAGTTGAGTTTTTTTAGAGAGATAAAGTTGCAAGGAACAGAGCAAGAGTTGAAAAAAATGGCACCAAGTTTTGATCTTTTGTGTGCAGAGGATAACTCAAGCATTTTTGATGAAGTTGATGATAATTATTTTGGGGTTGTTGACGATGATGTTTTTCAGATTTCTTACTTGCATCAACAACATGGGAATCTACGAAACTTTGATAATATTAACATTAATTATTATTATAATAACAATAATCATAACCAAGAACACAACTTTGAAGCTTTATATTCTGGGTTTTTTGTGGCAAATCATGAATGTTTGGCTTCATTGCTTGAAAATGAAAGACAACATTTTCTGGGTCTTGATTATTTGAAGAAATTAAGAAATGGAGATTTGGATTTGAGTGCTAGAAATCTGGTTATTGATTGGATTCAAAAGGTGGGTATTTTCCCTTTTTCTATTTTATTTATTCTATTTTTCCCATTGCTTTATTCTTCTATTTTTATTTTTATTTTAGTTTTCCAACATTTCATTATCAAACCGTTTCATCTTGTTTTCTGATTGGTTATCTTTTTCTTTTTATAAAAATAAAATCGGTGGAGAAATTGGTTTCTTACATCTTTTCTGTTTGATGATTTTTTTTTTGGTGGGGTTTGTAAAAATAATTAGTGGGACTAATAAGAAGGTTGATTAAATTACAACTTTTTAATTAAAATCTTGTTTTTATTTTTTGGTACAACTTTATGCTAAGCATGTTTGGCATTTCTTACCTTCCATTGTAAGTAATGTTCTTTTGCAAATGATGAACCACATTGTCATGTTTTTTGCCATTATTCGATTTATTATATATTGATTATCTTTAATATTGGATTATCCTCATTAATTAAAGTACTAATCACATTATTATGTTGATTGAACAGGTTCAATCCCATTACAATTTTGGGCCACTTTGTGTTTATCTGTCTGTAAACTATTTGGATCGCTTCCTTTCGGCTTATGAATTACCTGTAAGCATCTATTTAATCATCAAAAGTTTAGCTAATTTCTAATCAAATCTAATTAATGTCATTTCAATTGCTAATCAATTTGATGTGTTTTTGGTATTGAAGAAGGGCAAAGCTTGGATGATGCAATTAATTGGGGTTGCTTGTTTATCTCTAGCTGCCAAAGTGGATGAAACTGATGTTCCCCTCATCTTAGATTTACAAGTGAGTCACATACATTTGTTATTAATCTATGACATTACTCCCTCCGCCGATATTAATTGTCACGTTGATAGTGTAATTGGAACTGTTAATGCATCCGGAATTAATAGTCACATTGATATGATCCTAGGCTCCTAGCTATAACACGAATCGATAATGTGACAACTAAATTGGGACAGACGTAGTGTGCGTCGTGATTAGTAAAGGACTTGATTGCGATGACTTTTGGATACTCATATGGATTGGTAATAATAATGTGCAGGTTTGTGATAGCAAGTTTGTATTTGAAGCAAAAACAATCCAAAGAATGGAACTTTTAGTGTTGAGTACTTTGAAGTGGAGAATGCAATCAGTGACGCCATTTTCATTCATAGACTATTTTCTATATAAATTGAGTGGAGATAAAATGCCACCAAAAAGTCTAATTTTTCAAGCCATCCAACTCATCCTAAGCACAATCAAAGGTATAATTAATTCTCCATCCTTGAATTTATATTTTATTTTTATTTTTCAATCTTTAGTTGGTGAAATAGTAAAAATGATGAAGTGGGTTTGGTTTGGTTTATTGATTGGTTTAGAGAATTGAATGCAGGGATTGACTTGATGGAATTCAGACCTTCAGAAATTGCAGCAGCAGTGGCAATTTCTGTAACACAGCAAAACCAAATTGTTGAATGTACTGATAAAGCATTCTCTTTTCTTACTGATCATTTAGAAAAGGTAAAACTACACCTCTAACAAAAGTGGAACACTCGTATACAACATGTTTAGTCACCCCAAGTCACAATTTCATTAGTAACTAAACATGTCGTATACACATTGTATACAAGACCTACTGTGGAAAATGAAATTGACTCGATTTCTCGTGTTTGATCAATGTTTGCAGGAGAGATTAATGAAGTGTGTTGAAATGATGCAAGAAATGAGAATGAACAATAGATCAATTGGTGCAACATCAGTGCCACAAAGTCCAATAGGGGTGCTTGATGCTTCAGCATGCTTAAGCTATAAGAGTGATGATGCATCAACATCTGCTGGATCTTGTGCTAATTCTGCTCATAGTAGCCCTGCTTCTGCTCCACCACCCAAGAGAAGGAAGCTAGACAGGACATCTTAATTACAACTTTTAGATGAAAAAATTGAAAAAAAAAAGTTTTTATATATTTATTTTTTTTCTTTTTTGGGTGTGTTTATGATAATACATTTAGTACAAAGAAAATAGACAAAAAAAAAAAAGAGGGAGGAGAAATTGTTTGGGAAATTTTTAGTATAAGTGAGTTTTAATAAAAATTTTGAACAAATAAAATATAAATAATTTTGGATATGGATTGTTGTTTTCTTACCTTATCAATGGTCCGACCCAAGATTCGTACTTAAATTGAACCCAAAAAAAAGCATGGAAAGATATGGGACAAAAAACAGTTATGGTAAAAGAATAACTTTATGATTAATTAAAATAAATAATTTTTGTAATATGGACAATTATGAATTTATGATATACCAAAAAAAATAAAATAAAAATGTGATGGTAGTATGTCAGTGGGACTGAAATTTCTACCTGCTTTATGCGAGAATAGTGTCAGGCAGGCCTTTGTTTGACTGTGTGTCTGGAGTATGGTTTTATTCATGACTTGTTTTGGGGGGTTTAATTTTATTTTGGATTCAATCAGCCTTTCATTGGTGATAATATACTTTGAGAATGCAAATTATATGAATATAATAAAATACCGAGTACATCATTACATACCAAGTATATACTTGTATTTGTTTAGTACGAACGGATAAGATGAACTATTCTATCACCAATATTTTGTTAGCCTAGTCGTAAGCAGACTAAGCCCTACTCAAAGCGTCTGGCTTGCTAATTTGAACAAAATTGACTTGTGAGAGATTTTAGATCACCGCATCACTAGTTCTTACTGCATAAAAAAAATATATTACTGTTTTGAAATCTCTCGTGGTCAACAGGCTCGAGTTTTATTAAAAAGAATTCAATATAATACAATATGATGATATAACACCTATTATATTACTATTGGCAGAGTAGTTGGCGTTGGAGCGCCTCTTCCTTTATATACCCACCTATAGTTGACCCGATTTTTTTGGGTAATGTATACTTGAGCAGTAGAGCTTGATCGGTTGATCCTTTTAAGATACGGAGTATGTGTTGAGCCCACATGAAATTTGACTAACCATACTCTCTTTAATGTTATTTGTACGAGTACTCTTATGTTACTAATAGTAATGTTACTATTAGTCATCAAACTATCCAAGTCCTACCACACATGACACATGTTAGTGGTGTATGTGGCTCTCCATTAAATATGCGTCTTAGATTCGATTGATGATGATATTCTTCTATTTAACTTATTTTGACTTGTTTCAAATAAGTTTATATTACATATAAAGTAAATTTAGGATAGTAAATTACTGTAATACATATTATAAAAGTTCAGTTAATAAGATTTTGACTACATGTATTGTGATGAATTATTTAGTTTAATATGTTTATGACATATTTAAAAATATATCTAGATAAAGTAATTTAATAAGATTTCTGATTACTTGTATTATGATTGAATGATGGATCATTTAGTTGGATTCAATTAGGGTCTATTATGCGTTGATTAATTTACCATAATAAAAGCAAATATCATATCTATTCCGTATATTGACTAACTTCTACAGCGAGTCGGAACAATTTTGTTTAACGTCAATATCGAATTTTCTTGTTCCTTGTATGATTTAGGTTTGAGCTAGATTATCTAAGTTAACCAATTAAGATTGAATCAACTTTGTCTAAATTAGGATAAATAAGTTGTAGCTTACTAGCTTACCATCTAAACACTTTTTGGATGATAGAATTAATGCCTTGCTTTTGAAAACTTATAACCTACTCTACAACATGCTACTCCCTCCGTGTTTTAACAAGTATTACAATTTAACCAAACACGTATACCGAGACACGACTTTGACCCTTAATTTATCTAATAATATGTTAGTAAAATCATAGGAAATTTTATAATATAAAAGTATACATTACAACGATTCCAACAATGTACTATACAATAACATTTGTTTTTTTTAATATTAGTAAATTAATCAAGTCAAAACCATTATGTAAATAGTGAAAAAAGTTAAATTATAACACTTATTAAAACACAGAGAGAGTATGTCATTTGAACATTTAAATCACGTAAATGTCAATGTGTAGTTATGGTAAAGGTATCCTAGCCCTAGTAATTACCATAACCAAAGAAATGTGTAAGGTGATAGATAACATCTTGTCAATTTTCGTACAATTTCAGTGTGCATTCTTTTTTCTTGTGGAAATTTCCTAAATATTTTTTTTAATTAAACCTATCATACTTTATTAAAATCTACTAAGGAGTGGTCGATAGAAATGGCTTAAGTTATCAAAAGTTATGCATTGGATAAAGAAGGAATTGAGAGAATATAACTTTTTAAGATGCTTTAATTAGTTTCATGTATTTGTTTCTTAAATGTTATCAAAATGATGTGATAATATTTAGTCAATTCATTCTCTAAAATCTAGTTCTATTTTCTTTAATTAAGCAAATTTGATGGAAAGGGAGGAAAAATCACATTGTGACATTGAGGTCAATAGACTTTTCTCTTTTACTAAAAAAAAAAAATAAAAATTTAAGATCGAGTTTGTTCAACTTAAATAATCATCATAGTTCAAAATTAAGTTTTCATTCAACAATAATCAATTATAACCATTAACCAACATTGTTTTTAGTAAAAATTAGTTTTGATCTTTTGATAATTGAAAATCAGTAATTACATAAAAATATCAAATTGGACCAAGAATAGTACGCAAAATTAAGACTTTTCATTAGTAAAAATCAATTCAAAAGTGAAAAACATAAGGAATCTAAAAATTAATTTAAATTAATGATTTAGATCATAGTTACACTAATTTAACCCTTAGATCTATATAATTGATCCAAATGCCTCAGCTTTTTACTGCATATAATTTATTTTAAAATTTCATTATTGATTTCTTTATAAGTGAGAACAAAAGTAGCATTAACAACTAAGCATTTCTTCTAAGAAATGAGTGCAAATTGATGGGGTTGGTACTAACAAAATCAACAGATTCTTGATAGATGTACAATTTCAGATGTATTTTTGAATTGTGAATGCCTAACACGTACATTTTCCTTTCATGTGCGCGCCAGCGGGAAATTAAGGCGCCAGGATTTTAACATAAAGTTTGGCTAATATGAAATATCTACATACTTTTTATTTGTTTCTTAAAATTATGTTTTTTAAAAAATTTGCTTATCCGTGAGTTTTGTATGCATCTGGTCATATCATATGATCGCTTGTAAAAATAACAAAGCAACCCTATAATATTGACGGAATAATCCTTATAATACTGATCGAGTAACCCTTGTAACACTGACAAAATAACCCCTGTAATACTACGAAATACTCGTACCTATCATGATAAAAATATGACCAGCCACATATAAGAATTTGTGAGATAATATACGATACTCTAAAATTTTTTTTAACAAAATAATAATAAAATAAAATAATTAAAATAAAAAAGGACAATTATCTTAGAAAGGCAGAGGAGTAAAGGACCATAAGTTTAAATACATGTCAGTATAACCTGTTATAATGTGGGCACAATCAAACCACTACACATTTATGTCTCTCACTCAACATGTCAATTTTATACTTTTTTTCTCTAAATTATCTCTCTTGTCTTAATTCGTTTTCTTTATTGTTTAGGAATTTTTATTTTTATTATTTGAATATTGTATAGGAGTATTTTTATACTAGTCTAATAGTCTTTGATCTCATATGTAAAAAAAAACAAACAAAAACGGCTACATATTTTTTTTCTTATAAACGGATTCCATCACTATGATTTTATCTTCTATATCAAAATAAAATCTTGAATATATATACATCATTCGAATCTTTTTTTTTTTTGGTACGTGCAATTGTGATTGTGATTAGTTGGTACGTGCATTTGTGATTGTGATTAGAAATTAATCATTTTCAAGAATTTTCCTTTAGTAAGTAAGGGGAAAAAATTTATATTATAAATTTAACATGAAAAGATATAGAAACCCTAATATGACTCGGACAATAGAAGGTATTTTTTTTTTTTTTTAATTACACCTAGTTAATACATAATTTTGCTATATGTAGTGGTAAGAAAAGGGGAAAGGATAAAAGATGTCATCAATTCAAGAACCATAAATTTCAACAACAAAGTTAGAAGAAAATTCTTTTTAGGGTAATCATCATAATTGTATCATCATGATAAACATTGATAGCTAACTATTGAATTTCTATAGCCATACAATAATATAATAATATTAAAAATCTAAAAGATAACAAAAAAAATCTAAAAAGATAATGGAAACAAATTTTTTAATTTTATTTTATTTGATTTAGCATAGGTCTAATATTAATTTTAAGAAAATGTCATAGTTTCTAGTTCCTATTTTAGTTTGTCCTTGTTTTGTCTTCTTTCTTTGATGAATGCAAATCCACCTAATTATCTACCTTTGTCTCAACATACTAAAACAAAATTCCTACTCATTAATCACACTTTTTAATGTTTTTGAAAGGTCAACTTTGACACCTTTGGCGATACGAAGGGAGAGAGCACATGTTTTGCTTTTACATTCCTTTTGTGTTACAAAAAATTTTATACAAGTAAAATTTAATTATTTTAATATCTTAAGTAAAACTCTTATGTATGTGATTATACAATATTTCAAAATTTAAGCCTATATTATGAGTATATACTTCATAATAAAATTGTGCCAAGCCTTAGCATTAGTTTACATATTTTTAATTATTATTGAAAAAAGATAAAGAAATAGACTATTGAGGGGGTATTCACCTCTACATTAATGAGTAAAGCAAAATGTGTTCTTTTATCATAGCACAATACTTTGATTAGAGTGCAATTTTGTTGGTTCGAATAATTTAGGACATGCCGAAAGCAATTTAATTTTTTTAAAGTCAATTTTATTAGTTACATTGTCATATATGGAGCATATGAATATGATTAATGCAACCCTAATCATCTTTAAGTATCATTTTGCGCTCAAGTAAAGGTTAATCGTTTCATGCATAATAAGGTTTGACTTAATGCAAATGGTCTTATAATGTCTATGTATGTGTCCTTATTGTGGCAGGGATCGGAGTGCAATGAGATTGATCAAATTGTCATAATCAAAAACAGTTTGTAACTCCAACCAATAATAATTATATTGATACTTCAAGAGATATAATCTTCTATGTATTAATTCAATGATTATTCGGATTTATTACAACATCGATCTAACAAAATAAGGTTTTAATCCAAGGATCGTTATAGTTATTTCAATAAATAAGTACAAAGTTCTTTGTAAATGTAATTGTCATTAGTTACTATAATTGCAAGTCAATTCAATATTTATTTTTTTTAATATCCACTCTATGTTGAATTTGATTCATCCATTTTTTTTTTCGGTTTTTTCACCATATACCACTGAGTTTTAACTTAATTCACCATATATCACCAAATACTTTATAATTCACCATATACCACTGAGTTTAACATAAATGTCACAACATGCCATTTTCTGTTAGTTATTAACGTTAAGTGTGACATGTGGCAGCATTTGAGTGGTTCTTATTTAAATTAATTAATTAATTAAAAAAATATTTAAAAAAACAAAAAAAAAAAAAAAAATCCCACCACCCCAAGCCCAACCAGTCAGCCATCCTCCCCCCCCCACACCGCCCCCAGTTTTCCTTCCACCCTGCTATCGGCGCCCAAACTCCCCTTCCCTTGCACCGGCTGTAACACCCTAGAAATTTCTTTCCTTTAAAATACCTTTCTCGCTTTTTTTAAAATATGAATTAGGAAATTTTAAAACATTACCGCCATCGTGAAAACGGCTAAGGCAAATATCAAAGGCTCACAGCGGAAGACTCACTTCAAAAATCATTCAAAACAAGTTAACTTAAAATGTCAAACTAAACGAAAGTAAAGTCAAACTACAACTTGGAACCATTGTGGCCCTTATCAACCCAAAAATGAATTTTAAAAAACTTTGTGTTAGTCTCACAAGCAAAACATATGATAATCAAAATAATAAACCACATCATATTCTTATAGAAACTAAGCATGATTCGCTCTTCACTCATGCCCACCATGAATATGCTTCATCACCTGAAAAGCTTCTCTTTAATTTGTCCCCAATACTCGCCATTAGAAATGGGTCGTCGTAGGGCCAAAATAAAGACAAGGCCAAACAAACATACAAACACACAATCAGCAAAGCTGAGTACATAAGCGTAAACAGTACACACTAACATGCTTTCATCCTATCAACACACAACTTATCTTGTTGCACCTGTTTACAAGTATACAACACAACCAAGCAATAAATAGCTAAATAAATTGCTTATTTAATTTGATTACGCATCGAACGAGTTTCCCATCAAATCCCTGCCCCAAATAAATTGAGGTAAACTACACCGGGAGCTAATAACCGGGTAGGCAAATGCCACATGAAAGTGACTGGACGTCCTGCGCATAAAATAAATAAAGGAAAATACAGCTTCCTGTATTCCCAGTAGAAGTTATGGTCAAATATAAAGTCTCATAACTCCCCCCAAATGTTCATACTCGAGGTATATACGTTCCAAGAGTATTGATGCGTAAACTCTTTCACTTTACGTTCCAAGAGTATTTTTAGACTTAGTGATGACTCTCAATCCATAATACAATCAATCATAATAAATCATTCAAGCAATCAAACACACCAATTTAATTCTTGAATAATTAGTGACCACATTAATTTAATGTTGAACCCTTTTTAAACTACCTCGGCGTTAAATAACACCTTAAGCGCATAAAGCACCGCAAATCCTATCCCTTGGTGTTTAGAACACCTTGAGTGTACTTAGGCACCGTAATACATTTTATTCCTGTATACTAAGACACTAATAGCTCAATTCTCATGCTTAAAACATCAATAAAAGTTATATGAACCAAAATAAAATTCCCTTTTTATATTCCAAACCAAATCAAACATTTAGTTTAATTAAACACGCTCTCAATCATGCCAATAATAAAAGTGTGGTTCATATTCAACATGCCAACATAATTAATTCCAATCATTAGTTCACCACAAAATTCATACTTCACAAATCAATCACAACATCAATCCAATCAACAATTCCAACCTATACCTATCATGATACTACCTTGGAATTAATTAAACAAAGCCTAGCATGCTTCTATACACTTAAATAATTACCGAGTACGCGAACGTACCTCGAATATGATCTCAAAATCGCCACGACTACACGAAATCACTCACTTGGAAATCTCCTACAACCCAAAATTACAAAGAGACATTAATACCTATTCAATATAAATTTCCAGCAATATATACGCTCTTTAAATCACTTATAAACCCTTTAAAACAAGCTAAAAGTTAATTTAAAACCCCTACTTTTATTCCCAATTAATGGGTAATTAAAAATCCTTTCAAGAAACATAATTCTAATCTTTATATAAAAATTCGAGCTTTATTAAAAATATGTAAAATTGCTGTAATTATGTTTAAAAACACTTATTTCAATAATTCCAACCTACTACAATCAATTTCCATCAATATACATTAGTTTAGAAACCCATGATTTTCAATTTGGGGCTTTTTAATTCAAAAACCAAATCTAAAATTTATATACATATTAATCATAATCAAACATCATAAAAATATCACAAAACCCAAAAATATTAGTTGAATTAAGGCTAGATTAGAAATTAAAACATAAAGAGGTTTTTTTTTTTTTTTTTTTTTTTTTTTTTTTTTTTTTTAACCACACGCATTTAGGAGAGGGAGGACGGCTGCTGCCGACAAGTGCTGGTGGTGGCCGGCCGGTGGTGGTGGTGCCAACAGGCCAACCATGCGGTGTGTGTGTGGGTGTCGTGCAAGGTGAAAGCAAAAAGGGGAGGGGGAAAAATTAAGGGAGAGAAAATAAGAGGAGAGGGAGAGAGAGAGAGTTTACCTTTGGGTATTCTCCACCTTGGACAAGATCTAACTTGCTCATAAGATGGGTATTATACCCCCCCCTAAAACCCTCCTAACCTTAAATTTCCTTTCTACCCTTAATGATCCCTTCTCCTATTCAAATTAGTCATTTGACTTTCTTTAAATACCATTGACTTTAAATTTCCTTTTTTTAAAATAATATGCCCCAAAATTTCTATATAATAAAATAAAATATTTTCAAAGTAATTAAATAAATAAAAATGGACCTTTAATTAAAATAAATCTTTTTAAATTAATAAAATACCATAAATAATTCATTTCAAATTATCTAAATGCTTCATAAAATAATGATTTAAATTAAAATACGTATAAAAATACGGGGTTTTACACCAGCGCCCGCTCCTCACCCTAGCCACGACCCTTGAAGACCACCACCACTCCCGAAAATCCATCCACAACCCCCACCACAACAATTGAAAACCACCCACAACCTCTAAAACCAACCACCACTCCCGAAAATCTACTTAAAACCCTCGAAACCCTTTCAGCCACACCGAAACCTAACCCACGAGAAGAATCGACCAAGTTGGAGGAGTGAAAAGTACAAAAAAATCGGGTTATTTGTTGGAGCTAGGGAGTGAGATTTCGTAGGTTAGGGTTTGGCTGGTGGCACGACAGGGGAAGGGAGAGTGTCGAGGTAAGGATTAAAGGTAGGGGGTGGGTCGGCCGGCGATGAAGGGCCGGTATGGCCGGTCGCCGGGGTGGAAAGGCGCTGTTGGTAGGTGAGAGGGTGGCTGGGAGGTAAATTGGTGGTGGGGTTGTAAAAAGGATCAGGGGGGAAAGGAGAGGGTTGGGGGTAGGGGTTGTCGCCGGTGGGGGAAGGGTGATGGACGCCGACCAGCTAGGCGCCGGCCAGGGTTGGGCTGGGGGGCAGCGGTGGCTAGGTTGGTGGTGGTTTATTTATTTTATTTTTTAAAAGTTTTTTAATTCTTTATTTAAGTAATTAATTAAATAATATTAATAAAAGCCAATAAGTGACAGCCGTGTGGCACAGTTAACCTTAATGACTAACGGAGTTAACGGCGTTAGTCATTAAGGGCATGTTGTGGTACATGGTAAATTAGAAAGTTTTTGGTGGTATATGGTGAATTAAGTTAAAACTCAGTGGTATATGGTGAAAAATCCGATTTTTTTTTTTTTTTTTTTCATTTGTTTAATGTAGTACATTGGATTATGAGTTATAATGACATTTCAAGAAATCAAAATCAAATAAGAAGAATGTCTTGAAACACTAACATAGTATTCCATACTCCACAGATGTTATCACATAGCCTCCTAAAAATCATACTATCTATAAAATTCTTTATTTTCAAAATGATACTCATAATTTTTACTTTGTAGTATATCTCTTTTTTCAAAAAAAAAACAACCCAAACATATGTTTTTAAAAAAAAAAATTAGAAAAAAGTCTTAAAGCCCGTTACAATGTAGAACATGTCAAGTAGTGAAAACAAAATAACAGTAAAGGTTGTACTTGTACTTCTTTAATTATCAAAGACACAACCAATTTTATGATAGAAAAACGCCACTAAGTCACCAACGGATTGTTTTCGAGTTAATCTGTCAGTAGAAAATTAAGATTAACAACGCAATTATACAGTGTATTAGTGAAAGATACCCTGAATTAGTTAATTTGATTAGTGAAAAACAGAGTACTGAAACAGAATTGTACGGTTTTCACTACTTACAAGAAGCTAAATGGCTAAAAATGTACGTACATTATAATTTTTTCTTTTTCCAAATTTCTTTTTTTTTTTTTTTTTTTTTTTGGTGAAGACATTATACAAGTAAAATATATACATATAGAATTTGTATGTATTCTTTTTTTTTTTTTTTTTTTCTCCTGACGGGAAATGTGTATGTATTCTTGAAACTATAAACTACCCATGCTTTGGAACCTAAATTACAGAAAATAACAGTTAAAAAATATGAAAAATGATCAACTAGTATTTTTCTTTTTACTTTGAATGAGGTATTTCTTTAAAAATGTCTCCCCCTGCCCCTCCCCCGACCCTGCAGGTACTCCAACCAGCCTTCATCAGCAGTCATCGCCGGCGAGTTTGCCTCCGATCCTACCGCAGAAATCCTTCAAATCCACTCTCTCCTCCCCTCTTCCGTCTTCCTCCTTCTCTCCATCCTTCCCTCTTGACTCTATTGCCGCTTCTTCCCCCCCGCCTGGTTTCTCCTCTGTCAATCAGGTGTTTTTGGTGCTAGAAAAAGACCGTTGTGTCGCTTTATGCTCGATTTGGCAGTTTTCGCTGATTGGGAAAGTCATTGGAAAATCTTTCTCCGTGTCTTTTCTGAAAGATCTTCTGAAGAAAGCTCTTGTTCATTGTTCTGATTGGGATTTTCTCCTTCTGGGTAAAGGCTTCTTCTTGCTTAAGTTCAAGTCTAATGAAGATTTGCAAGCCACTCTTGAGCGTGGACCGTGGAAAATTGGTAGGTTTCCTTTGATTTTGAAACTTTAGGAACCATGTTTCAGGCCGTCAGACGCGGTCATTGACTCAGCGGTGCTGTGGGTTACGTTGCCAGAACTACCGGTGGAGTTTTATGAGAAGGACATTCTAATGGGTATTGGTAATTCCCTAGGTAAGCTAGTCAAGATTGATGTCAAGACGTTGGATAGGGGTAGAGTTCGCTTTGCAAGATTGCTCATCCAGTTTGATATGTCAAAACCTTCCTCTTCTGCAATCTGGATTGGTAAATTTCTCCAACCAATCCAAGTTCAAGATGCCTCAAAATTCTGTAAAGTCTGCAAAAGTTATGGTCATTGGAGTTTGGATTGTAAGAGAGTTCAACCTAGAAGTAATGCAGGGCTTTTCTCTAAATCCGATCACAACCCGTCGGAAAACAATGATGGTTGTGTGTCGGTCAAAGAGAAAGCCGGGAAAAAGCATAAGGTGGCGCCACCTAATTAGGAGGCGGTGCAACGAGGTGGACCCACGAAAATTTGGGTGGAAAAAAGAAAACAAGATTCGACCCTGGTTGAGCGCCATATTTCTGTTTTGGGAAATGATAATTTGAATTTTGAATTTCCTGCATCAAACACACGTCACCTCTCTTTGCCACCTCAGATAGTTCCAGCTGGTTCCCACTCACTTTCTCTAGACTCTTCTTCTTCTCCCTCTAGTCAAACCAGTCCACACTCTCTCTCTTCCATCCCTATCTCAAAAAATCCTTTCTACTCTCTCGCCTAACTCCCTCTTTTCGGACGAAAATGGTGTCCAATTATGCGACCTACAACTCATCTCCAGCTCGGGACTTGTTTCACCCATCGAGAAACCCCGACCACTCTCCATCTTCAACCCCGACCAGCACTCCGAACCCATTGGCATCTCTGCCATGGACACCGCCGTCTCCTCTACCTTACTTGGAACACCCACATGGTGGATCTAGCCCCCCCGGAAACCGGAATTTCAGATCTGAACCTAAACAACATCCAATTTATGCTAGAATCGCTAGATTGAGAAGATGTAAGGATCGTTCCCTCAGAAATTCTCCGTCACCTGATCATGAATTCGTCGGTTGTCCCGGAGGAATGGAAAGAGCTGAAAATGCTTTCGAATCAAGGAGATTTGCTTCCTGCCCACCTCCCAAATATGGCAGATCTGAATTTTCTGTCGGAAGAAGTGAAGCAATTCTTTTCCTGGAGAATAGAACAACTAGCTTTGGAGAACTCCGTGAATATTATCCCCCCAGAATTTGCTTCTTTCTGGAACCTCCACCGGTAATTCCTCGTCATATAGAGATGATTCAAATGCAATTCCTTACTGTCACAATGTAAACAAGAAATTGGACGAATTTCATGAAAGTGGTCAAAGCCAGAAGAAGGGAACGCCAAATTCAGTGGAGTGTGTGTTGGGAGTTCGTAGGAGCTCAAGGGCTCGAAAGATCAATAAGTCTATCCTTGGAGCCGAGGCACTACATTTTATTCGATTCGACAACTGGTCAAGATCGAGAGTATCTGAGAGATCTACCAAGCGGGGAAGTAGATCCCTTTCCTCTCCCCCCAATAATCCGTGATATGTCGATTCTCTATTGGAATGAGAGAGGGATAGCGAGAATGTCCTTCTTGAGAAATATTAGGCTTTTGATTCAGCAACACCAGTCGCACATGCTTGTTATTTCTGAAGTTCGAGTGGGAAGGTTGGATACCGACAAGATTGTTCGTAAACTCACCTATGATGAATGGTTAATGGTGGAACCGGCTGGGCTGTCTGGAGGAATCGTCGTTCTGTGGCGGTCGGACTATGTGTCCTTTGAACCCACAAGAACAACGAGTCAGGGCATCCATGGTATAGTTCAGGTGCTTTCCCCTCCTAAAACTTTTTTCTTATCCAATGTTTATGCTAATCCTAAATTCCGTGTGAGAAAATTGTTGTGGTCTAATTTTGAGTTATTGCATTCTTTTATGGATTTGCCGTGGATTGTTCTGGATGATTTGAATGAAGTATGCTATTCTCATGAAAAATTTGGTGGTAGGCCGATAAAGCCTCACAGAGCTAATGCTCTTTTGAATTGTATGCATTCCTGCAATTTAGTTGATTTGGGGTATTATGGCCAAAAATTCACTTGGACTAATAAAAGAAAAATTGGGCCGATTCTTGAAAGGCTGGATAGGGCTTGGGCTAATGTAGATTGGGTCTCTCTGTTTCCCTCAGGCCACCTAAAAATTCTCCCTCGCCTTACCTCTAATCACCGCCCCATCCTTTTATGCTTTGCCGAGAGAAGTGGTTTTCAAGCTCCCAAACCTTTTGCACTTTGAACCTATGTGGTGCTTAGATCCCTCCTTTGATCCTCTTGTTTGTTCTGAATGGTGTAAAAGTAACAAATTTTTTTTTGATAAATTGAATGACTTGTCAACTAGTTTACTTAATTGGAATAAAAATGTTTTTGGCAATATTTTTCAGAAATAGGCTCGTCTCATGGCGAGGTTGGAGGGTATTAAAAAATCCCAAGGATCAAATGGTTTTTCAAACTATCTTTTTGACTTGGAGAAGAATCTACAAGAAGAACTCTTGGAGATTCTTCACCAAGAGGAGTTGTTTTGGATGATGAAGTCTAGAGACAATTGGTTAGTTGAAGGGGATAGGAACACTTCCTTCTTTCACAAGTCGGTCTTTATTAAGAGAAGTAAAAATAGAATTATCTCCTTATGCTCCGATGTAGGTGACTAAATTTCTGACCCTATCTTTCTGAGATCTCATATTAGGAGCTATTTTTTGAATCTCTTCTCCTCCTCCTTTGTGAGTGCCCCGGATCCTGATGCTTTTCCTCTCCCCCTCCTTGATTCTAGAGCTAGGATATCCATCTCTCACCTTCTTGATCACCATGAAATTTGGGGGGTCATCTCTAAGTTGGGGTCTTTCGAAGCTCCTGTCCCGGATGGTTACCATCTTTTTTTCTACAAGAAGTATTGGGACACCTTGAATCCTGACCTTACCTTTTTCATTAGGAAAATCTTTGGAGATAAGGCCATCCCTGAGAGCATTAATGAGACCTTGATTGCCATGATTCCCAAAACCTCATACCTTTTTTCTATCACTCAATTTAGACCTATTAGCCTTTGCAATACGGTTTACAAGATTGTCACCAAGCTCATAGCCAATAGACTTCGAAGTTTTCTCCCCTCTAGGATATCTCCAAATCAGAATAGCTTTCTTCCGGGGAAGGGTACGGAAACTAATGTCATTATGGTGAATGAGACCCTTCACTCTATGAGAAAGAGAAAGGTGTATAGGGTAGCTCCCGTTGAGCTGCCCCGTGTTCTAAGCACCTCTTAGGAGGTGCGCACTAAAGCCAGTCCAGTCTAAGGTTAGGGAAAACCTTCTAGGGGCTCAGCCTCGTGGCTGACCTCAGCAGGGCTCAGCCTGCAGCACCAAGAATGGAATAACTATAAATAGTAACCCAAATGCAACAAGAAAGAGGTTAGACACATATATTTAATAACTTATCCATTATTTTTCAAAAAACAGCCTTACTAATTTAACCATCGGAGGGGGGTTCCTTGAAGCCACCCCCGAGGGCATAACCACCGTTATTGTGCAGGTGACTTCCGACCGACGTTCAGGCTAGACTCCCAGCCAGGCTCCGGAGCTACCCCGGAACAATTGGCGCTAGAAGGAGGGAGTAGTTCCAACACCTTAGCTCAACCAGTGAAGCTTGTTCGAGGTCGGAATAGCCGCCATGACGGAGGAAAAACCAGATCCGACGACCAAAACACCATTGACCGATAATGCTCAAACACCACAAAATAAACCCGATCCTGCAAAAACAACTGCAAAATTAATCTTGATCAGTACCCATAACCTAAATCAAGCTCGAGCCTCTTGCGACATCACCAAAAATACAAATGGAGCCTATAAACCAATCGAACCAGCCCAAACAGTTCGATTCGGAATGCCGCTCACAAAACAGAACGAGGGGATTACTCAAACACCGACAGGAAAGCTTTAGACGATGCACATACCAAAGGTATTGCAGAACTTGTCCCAGTGCAGTAAGGAGCAGCTGGTTGCTATGACAGCTGTGCTAAACTCATTTGGAAAAGGGTTGAGTTCCACTCGTCCGCAGATATCTGCTGGGTAGACCCTTGCCAAATCACGCGCGCAGAGTCTGACCATAGAGCAGAAGGAGTTGGCAGCCCGCCCTGAGGAAGAGGGTGAAGGAGTTGGAGGCTAGAAACTTGAACAAGGAGTGGAGTTCGGATGAATCAGGAGAGGTTCCAGCTGGGAATCAGCGCAGTAGATCCCCAACCCATATTCAGTCTTTGAGCCCAGCACGTTCCAAGAAGGCAAAGATCATGGTGATCCCTGATGACTCACCCTTCTGCAAGGAGATTTTGGAGGAACCAATAGAAAAGATCAAGATGCCTTCGTGCAAATACAATGGAACAACGACTCCTAAGAACCATTTGTCTGCCTTCGAGAGTCACATGGTCTTATACACCAGAACCGACTCAGTTTGGTGTAAAGCATTTCCTCTAACCCTGTAAGGATTGGCGGCAGAATGGTATTGCTTGTTAGAGAAAGGGTCAGTTTATTCGTATAATGGCCTGAAGAGGCTATTATTCATGGATCATTTTTTCACATTAGTGGATCGCACTAGAATGACAACGGAACTGATGTCACTAGAGCAGGGAAAGACTGAGTCACTCAGAGACTTCATAACTTGATTCAACAAAGAGGCAACATCAATTCCCAACATGAGCCAAGAAGTGGCGTTGCTTTCCCAGGGTTAGCATTCAGGAAATATATAGGCAGAAAGAACCTGAAAACCCTAGTGAAAACTTTAGGCAAAGCCCATGAATTCATCAAAGGGGATGAGACAGACAGAGCTATGCTAACCAGAAAGTACGCCTCTGCCAAGCCGAGCATACGACAGAGCTTAGTCGAGCAGAAGCGACAAACAAGCCAGAGCTTAACCCTGCTGGATAAGGCAGACCAGCAGAGAAGGGATAATGAAAGGTATTCTAGCCAGAGGAGACAGGGTTGAGGTAGGTTGCAGGGCAGGTACAAACAATATACCCCGCTGACCCACAGCCGATCTCACATCTTCAATGTGAATAAGTATGATGACAAGTGGCAGAGACCACCAAGGATGACCACAAATAACCTAGACCCAAAGAAGTGGTGTGACTTTCACAGAGACAAAGGACATACAACAGAGGAATACATCCACCTCAAAGACAATATCGAAGACCTCATAAGAAGGGGGTATCTGAATCAGTTTAAGCAGTACGCTGGGCAGGATAGGAGTCGAGGTAATGAAAGACCCAGAAATGACCGATGGAGGGTTAACAGGAATGACAAGAACAAGCAGGAGGAAAAAGACAAAGACAAGAGAGAGCTAGGAGACGTGTTGGTGATTAGTGGGGGGGCCCGTGCACGGAGGAACAATTAGTAGAGCCAGGGCTGACCTCAGAGACATGGTCTATCAAGTGAACTATAATGAACGCAGAAAATGGCCACCGCCACCTCCTCAGCCAAAGGTGGTATTTGATGAGCAGGATCAGCACGGAGTTATATACCCACATGATGACCCCTTTAGTAGTTTCCATAACAATTGCGAATTGAAGAGAAAGGAGAGTTCTGGTAGATGGAGGTAGTTCAGCCAACATCATGTTCATAGACGCCTTCCATAAAATGCGTCTAGACAGCATGGACCTCAAAGGGGTGAACTATGAAGTCATAGGGTTTGATGGCTCAGGAATGATACCAGATGGGATAATAGAATTGCCACTTCAAGTGGGAGAAGGAACTCATGCCAGGAACGTGAGGGCATAATTCTTTGTCATAAACTCTCAATCCCCTTACAATGTAATTATGTGTAGACCTCTCATCCACAAAATAAGTGGAGTGGTGTCTATGCTACACTTGGCGCTTGCTTACGCTAACAACAGAGGCTGCTTGGCCAAGTTGAGAGGCTGTCTGAAAATAGCAAGGCAATGTTACATTATTGCTCTGAGGAACCCAGTGAAATACGGCTCTCAGCCCAAAGTCCCAAAACAGGTAGCAAAAGAAGAAAAAGTTTCCAGAAAAAGGAAGAGACAGGAGAACAGGGAAGAAAAGGAGAAGCAGAGGCTAGCCATGGAAAATTTCGAGCAGGAGAAGGAAGAGGCAGCCCGTCTAACCCCAGAGAGGGAGCATGAAGTAATTGCACTGGTCAAAGGAGACGAGTCTAGAACAGTGAAGATTGGGAAAGACATTGAGCCTGAAGTCAGGGTGAACCTGGTAGCGCTGCTCAGAAAGAACGAGGTGTTTGCATTCTCAGCGGACGAAATGCAGAGTATTGATCCAAAAATCATGGAACACCGTCTGAATGTCAAGAAAGACTCGAGACCAGTAAAGCAGAAGTTAAGAAATTTCTCTGTAAAGAAAAATAAGGCTATCCACGAAGAAGTAGACAAGCTCTTGGCTGCAAAGTTCATAGAACCTTTTGACTACCCAGAATGGCTAGCAAACGTAGTAGTTTCATGAAAGCCAACTGACAGTGGAGAATGTGTGTAGACTTCACAGACCTGAATCGAGCCTGCCCAAAAGACTACTATCCTCTGCCTAGAATAGATCAGATGGTAGACTCAACGAGTGGGCATGCACTTCTGAGTTTTATGAATGCCTTCTCGGGCTACCACCAGATCAGCCTGTATGAGCCAGACAGAAAGAAAGCTGCCTTCATCACCGAATGGAAGAGTATTTAACTATGTCGCAATGCCTTGTGGCCTCAAGAATGCAGGGGCTACATTCCAGAAAACCATGGACAAGGTCTTTGCTCGCCAGAAGGGGAGGAATGTAGAAGTATAGTAGA